AAACAAGTGTACATGGAAATACTTCTGAAGTTAATAATAAAAGATACTATATATAGTGACTTCTCTGTAGAAGGCACTGTTCTACCACAGGGCCACTACCTAAATTTGTTCTAGTTCTTCCAAAACTTTAGAAGAGGAAGGAGGAAAAGAAAAAAAAAAAACCGTCAGGATGGTCAGAAACTTGTCCAGGACCACACAGCTACTAAGTGGGCAGGGATGGTATTCAGATCCTGACTCCAAAGTTCATATTCTTTCCTTGTGGTCTTTTTGAACCACATTGTTGTTGTTGTTGTTATGTGCCGTCGAGTCGGCCCCGACTCATAGCGACCCCTCCTTGGGTTTCCGAGGCAGTATCACTACGGAAGTAGGATTGCCCAACCTTCCTTCCGAGGAGTGGCTGGTGGGTTTGAACCGCCAGCCTTCTGGTTAGCAGTCAAGTGCTTTAGCCACTATGCTACCAGAGCTCCTTTTGAACCACATACAGAAAATTATTTCAGGAATGATATTCTCAATTGTCTCAAGAATGGTACTTAACTAGTACCACTTTAGATGCCTGGAAGAAAAGTTAATTCCTTGTGTACAACAAATGCCTTAGGACATTAGGGCTAATTCTTAGGGGGAACCTGGGTGGAGGAAGGCTACAATTAATGTTTTAGGAAGACAGGCTTGGTAATGGGATCACATCTCTGAGAGGAAACAGATGCTAAAGCACCTTAAAAGTCCTGGAATTATGGAAATGAGTCATTCCAGGGACTAGAAGGAAGAGCCTCCTGCAACCTTCCCTAATTTCTCCTCTTCTCTCCTCCCTCCCTCAAACCTTTTCCTTGCAGTCAAGTGCTGAAGCAGAGGCTACTTGCTCATAAGCCCTCAACAAAGCCAGAAGCAGCTCCTTCAAACATAAAAAACAGACCTGTGTACTTAACTTTTCTGTTAAGGTTGGAGGTGGAAGATTGGCAACAGTTAATTTAAAACCCTTCCATAGAAATCTGTCTGGCAAACTCCCTCTACACTTCCTGACATGACTTAAGTAACACCTGCTCTGGGAAGCTTTCTGTAACTGACTCCACCTCCCTGCTCAACCAGGCAGAATCAGATGTTTCCTCCTCTGTGTCCCAAGAGCCCCTTGTCCAGCCCTCTTCCAGAGCATCTATCTATCCAGCTGTAATTGCCTGTTTCCATATCTGTCTCCTCTTCCAGTCTAAAAGTCTCTCAGGATCAGGGACAGTTTGCCTGATCCATGTTAGGACCCTCTGAGTTCCACAGTCTCAGAGATGTCAAGTGGCTGTAAGGGAGATGTTATTTTACAGACCAGAAAACTAAGGTTTAAAGCAGTAAGGAGAGGGAGAAATAAATAGGTTAATGGTTTGGCTCTTGAGGCTGGGAGGCTAGGGCAGGGGATATAAATGATGTTGGGTAAAAAGGCAGCTGACAGTCATACAGTGGAGCTGAGATTTAAACCCACTTGCACTATGCTGTGGCCTCCTGAAGATGAGAGCAGTGACCTGTAACAGTCTGTACTAAGCACCCAGTCCAATACTGTAGGAGTTCAGAAGAGGATATATCAGAGTGGACCTGATGATCAGGAGAAGCTTTCTGAGAGAAGGAGGCCTTGAAGAGTCTGAGGATTCAGACAGGAAGAATGGTAACAAGACGACATTCTAGGCAGGGTGGGATGTGGGAAGAGACAGAATTAAGAGGCCGTTAGGTTCCCACCTAACGGAGTACAGGTTCCATTTTTGGGAGGAATGGGATTACAACTGCCAGGGTGAGAGTTTGATTTCTTTATCCAACAAGCCATAATGAAAACTACCAATCATAGAGCAACTACCATGTACCAGGGGTATTTATGGATGTTATCACTAATCCTCATATCACTCCTGTGTGGTAGGTGTTAGTTTATAGGTAAGAAAATAGAGGCTTAGAGAGGTAAGATAACATGTCCAAGGCAAAATATAGCTAATGGGGTAATGGGGGGAAGGGAGAGAAGCTGGAATTTAAACCTAGGTTGACTAGAGCGAAGCCTGAGGTGCCCTTTCTATTACTCCATGCTGCCTCCTAATGGGCCAGTGAGCTTCCCACATTATCAGACTGATGCTGCTGTCTGAAATCTCCTCCCAGATCTCAAATGGGGACTGGGGTCAGAGGGCAAGAAAAGCTGCCTACAGGCCACCCTAGCTCTAACCCTCTAAACCCCTAGCAACTAAGCCATTTCAAGGAACAGGGCTCTGTGTAGACCTCATGAGCAAAGGCTGACCTGTGTCCAGGCCGGCCTTGGACCTCACAAAGAACATGCTTGTAAGCTGCTGCAGCAAAGGTGGTACAAAGTACGAACTAAAAAAGCTGGATTGTCAGGAAGGAAGGCACTCCTGCCTTCCCTGAGATACTCTGCAGAAGGTCAGCTGAGGTCAGAAGACTTAGGAAATGTTATTTGCAACAGCTCCTAAGACAAGGGAGCAGGATCCTGCCTCTCGGTTGGCTGGTCACAGACACAGGCAGACTGAGAGAGGTCAAAGGGGGAGGGAGGTCAGAAGTTGGTAGGCCTGCAGGCCCTGAGTGACGGCCACTTGTTCAGGTCAGGGAGGGAGAAAAAAGTGGGTTAATGGTTTTGGCCCTTGAGGCTGGGAGGCTAGGGCAGGGGTATAAATGGAGGCTGGAGGCTGGATAAAAAGGCAGGTGGAAGAAATGTAAAGGTTAGGGCTAAGGGCATCTGTTCCAAGTCAACAGGCAGGAACCATGGCCCTGGAATAGCTCAAAGGGCTAGCCTGGATCTGGGGGATGGGTGTAGGGGAAAGCTTCATAAAAGGTCCACAGCCTCTTCATTTCAAAGGTGTTCGATCTGGAAGGCTGGGGCAAGGGGCTCCTTTTAAAGTACATTCTCTGTTTGGGGGTTAGAGAGAAATGTAAACTACTGGGAATATTGATTGATTTTAAGGCATGGTAGAGAGAGGCCCTATGGTAAATCCTCCAATTCTCAGCTACAAATGTCTCACTGGAGAGCTTTCCAAAGGACAACGTGAGAAGTATGCTGCTTGGGGACATTTTCTAAGTCTTTGCTTCTGAGAGCCCAGAATGAGCTCTCACTCCAAACGCCAACTGTCATCCCAGGCACTGGTCTTGCTCTTCAAAACGTACATGCCCCCGACCAAGGCACATTCTGACTGGTCTGGGCAGGTCCCCTATAAGCTAGGGGTATGGGCCAGGCTGGGTTTTAAGGCAGTGTGGCTGAGGTTGACTGTAGGTGGTAAGATTTGGGATTTACTGGGAAGTTTTGCCAGCCCAATCACATCACAAGGGCCAGAAGATCCGATGATGTTGGGCCTGGAGAGGTAAAGCTCTGAGACTGAAAGAACTTAACTTGAAAGATTGGCTTCTGAAAAAGAAGTTGGGCTGCAGATAACAGCTGGCAGAAGTTACAGGAAAGAAGATCACAGTCATTCAAAAGAAGTTGTTTCAACCAGTCAGACTGAACTACTCAGGGGAGACATCTCTGTCTTCTTGGATCTGTCACAGACAAATCCAAGGAAATGCCAGATAGCTAGCTGTTTCTGGTGGGACAGGGGACAGGCAATCAAGGTGGGCTCTGAAGATCTTTCCAGCTCTCATGTTCGATGAAGAATGTCCTCTCATAAGGAGGACCCTGGGGTCCAGGCCCAAGAGACAGTGGCTAGGCCCTAAAGAAGTAGCAGCATAATACTGCCAAGATGCTACCTTCCCTATCCTAAGGAGAGGTTCAGATAGGATAAGGAGAAGTGGGAATGGGGAAGTGAATGCTGGGGAGGTCTCCAGCAGGGTGGCAGGTAACTCTGCACTAGACCTCTAGGACCATACCAGCCTAAGCCTGTGAAGGCACAGGGCTTCAAATGAGTTGTCCAGTTCATAGTCACGGCTGATGCTGTGAAACTGGAACAGATATGAATTCGTAAAACATGGATGTACTAGAATGATAACTTTGTTAAACATGGGTATACTAGAATGATAACCAGAATGGGAAAAATTATGGGTTGTAGCCCTGGGAGACTTGGAAGAGGTGTACTTAGCCCCTTCAGGAGTCTGATGCAGGAGACTGAATTACTGCTAGGACTATGGAGAGTGACACACATTCAAAGTGGTGCAGCTGACTGCCATCTTTGAGGTGGGCACCATTGTTTCCGACTCTTCTTTAAGAGATTTGGTTGCTATGTAACGTGCATGCTACCCCTGTTTTCTAAGAGGGAAATGAAGTTTCTAGCAGGGTATCAACTGTAGTTTTTCCTGTTCTGGTACACCACATTTTACAACTTTGAGTCAGTTCTTGTTTCACTTCATCGGCAATGACTGAATGAGGAAGTACTGGTTTGAAGCTCTGGAAGGCACATACTGTGCCTCTAATTACAACTAATGTTCTCTAAGAAAAAGTTATTCAATCACTCAAGGTATGCCAAGAACTGTGCTAGGTGCTGGGGAACAGGGCTCAACAAGTAAGCCATGGCTTTTCTCTTTGGGAAACTCAGAGTCAAGTTAGGGAAAAAGCTATTGAATAATGAAAACAACTTCAAACTGTGAAAAGTACAATGACAGAAAAGAATAGGGTGCCATAACTCTGAGTAATGGGGACTGGGGGGTGGGTGGGGATTAAGGAGGACCTCTCTGAGACTGGGTTAGGAGGGATTTGAGGGGCCTCACCACTGTTCCACTAGCCCTGCACTGGAAGTCAGAGGAGAGGAAGGATGCTTTTGGTTGGGAGCAACAATTAAGAAAACTTTCAGTGAATATGCAGATAGGCAGGATGGTATGGTACATCACACACACACATACATACATACACACATGGAGGCAAAGAAGACACACACAAGAGGGCAAATCACACGTGCACAGGTTACTCTCATGAAATACAGCCATTCTTGAGGCATGCCCAGCTCTGAGAGGGTCACAGGGCAAGTGTGGCATTTCCAGAGTGGAGAAGCTGCCAAGTACTCTCTTCCCTTGCCAAACCCCCCACCTCCTCCAGCCCAAGCTCTCACCTCCATCAAGCAGCTCCTTGACCGTGTGGTAGTCATCAGCCAGGACAGCATAGTGCAAAGCTGTGCAGCCCTTGAAGCTAGCACGATTGTTTAGCCGGTTGTTGAAGTCATCCTCTCGGGTGACTAGCACTGGGGGAACAGTGACACAAACAATTTCATTAGTCACACTTACCATGAGCTGCCAATATCATGTTCTTTCTCTTGGCATTTTAATTTACTTACTCACTTTATCTACCCACTTACCAAACATATAGATACCTACTGTGTGCCTGGCCATGAGGAGGTAAAACAGAGGCCAGTTAGTTCCACAAATATTTACTAACATCTATTATGTATTAGTATTTGTCAAGGGCACAAAGAAATGAATCAGATATGGTCCCTGACCTAATCTGATGAGGAAGCAGATAATAAACAGATGTATAGAGTACTACTATGTTAGCAGTATAACAGGATGATACAGGAAGCTAGAGTGGGTTTTTAGGAGCTCTGGTAGCATAGTGCCTAAGGCACTTGACTGCTAACCAGAAGCCTGGCAATTCAAACCTACCAACCACTCCTCGGAAGGAAGGTTGGGCAATCTACTTCCATAGTGATACTGCCTCGGAAACCCAGGAGGGGTCGTTATGAGTCAGGTCCGATTCGATGGCACATCACAACAACAACAACAACAACAGAGTGGGTTTATCTCAACTTGGGCATGAAGAGAGGATTCCAGAAGATGAGAGTATTGAAGGATGAAGAAGAGTTATCTATCTAGGTGAAGAGAGAAAACTGGGATAAAATGGGGGTGGGGTGGGACAGAAGACAGAAGGTTATTCTTAGCAGAATAGTGAGACATTTCTGCTCTCAAGATATTTACAATCTATTATTTAATGATTTTTCTTTTAACTTTTTATTGTGATTTGGGTGAAATTTTAAAAAGCAGATTCGTTTTACATCTAACAGTTCATATACACATTTTGTTTTGTGACACTGGTTACATTCCCTGCAGTGTAACATCTCACCTCCCACTTCCTCCCTGTCATTATCCTTTCCCTGTGCCCTTCATGCCTATGCATTCCCGCCTCTCTACATTTATCCCTGTGGAAATTTTGCCCTTCTGACCTCCCATGGTTGGTATGTTCTAAGGAGTACATCACCCTGGTGAAGATGTTCAGCTCATAGGCCTATTATTCAGCTGAGAGTTAAGCCACAGGAGTGAGATCAAGTCTAGGCCAGAAGGATGACTTAGGGCTATAGTCCTAGGGGTTTCACTAGTCTCTATCAGACTAGTAAGCCTAATCTTTTCTTTTCTTTTTTTAATGGTTTTGAGTTTTGCTCCATATTTTTCTCCCACTCTATCCAAAACCAAACTCACTGCCATCGAGTTGGATCCAACTCATAGCGACCTCTCCTTGGGTTTCCAAGGCAGTATCACTACGGAAATAGATTCCTCAACCTTCCTTCTGAGGAGTGGATGGTGGGTTTGAACTGCCAGACTTCTGGTTAGCAGTCAAATGCCTTAGGCACTACGCCACCTAATTCTGATCCCTTTCTGAGCGGCTGGCATTGGTAGCCAGGCACCATCTAGTTCTTCTGGTCTCTGTGTCATATAGTTTAAAGTTCTCATGGTCCATTAGTCCTTTAGACTAACTGTTTCTATGCATCTTTGATTTTTTTTCCACTCTTTTTTGCTCTAGATGAAGAGAGACCAGTAGATGCCACCTAGATGGCCACTCACAAGCTTTTAAAACCCCAGTTGTTACTCATCACAATTTTTATTTTTAAAAGACTTTTAAAATTATGGAAATAATTTTTTTTAATTATGGAAAAGTGCAAAGAAAATAAAAGGTACCAATAATCTCAATAACTTGAGAAATTACATATATATAAATATAATATTAACATATATGGTCTATAGCCTTAGAATTTATTATATGTATAATTTTATAAACTGCAGTTTTATCCTTAATAAATACACTGTGAACATTTTTATTGGAAAGGTAAGAACAAGCATTTTGTGTAGGCAAAGAAACTAAAATCCCCAGGCTCTCTCTGATGCTAATATTCTTGACATTCTCTGCTTTGATAGAAAAAAGCCAGATCCATCACTTCTACAAGGCCCTCTGGGATGGGTGACCACATGTCCCTTTCCACCCAGGATAGCCCTGGTTTACGGCTGTTGCCTTGGAAAGTTCCTATTTAGATGATTAATTGGAAAGTAACCCTTCTATGGCTCTCCCTGGGGAATGAGATGCCCCAGAACAGTCTCTATTCTGCTCAGGTGATGAAATTTCTTTCTGCCTCATGATGAACTTCCTTATCTGGCCGCAAGTATGTACCTCATTTAGAAATTAGCACTGAGTGCATTTGTTGTGGGTGGGCCCTGGGCCCTGCCTATATGCACCTCTATTCTCCCATAACTTATGGCATAGGGTCTCTCCAAAGGGTAGGCTCTTCTTACCTCCTACTGGATAAAAGGGTATATTCATTCAGTCAAGAGGTGACCTTGGCTAGATAGTAAAAAGCACCAGGCACTTGGACTGGAGTCTATGTATTTTCTCCTCCTACAAAAACTACCATTTAAAGTCCTAAAAGCCAGAAGACTGTCATGCCTCCCACTCTCCTTAATACTAACAGATTTTTTTTTTATTGAACTTTTTCTACTCTATGCCAGGCACAGTCATTTCACACAATCTTATTCAATTCTCATAGCTACCTTACATAGGAGGTATTATTATTCCCATTTTATAGACCTGAAAATGGAAGCACTGAGGTCATAGAGCTAATAAATAGCTGAGGGAGGATTTGAACCCAAGTCTAATCTGAGTCTTCATTCTTTCTTTCCATCATATCATGGTCTCACCCTCCTTATGCAAATAAGGGAATCAGAACTCAGAGAAAGGAGCCCAGTGCCAGATGTTCTGGTCCCAGCTTTGGCTTTTATCTCCTCTTCTTTCCCTGTTCGTGTGAAGGTGCAAGCACAGATCCTATGGTACTTGTTCTTAATAGAGGTTGGCCTGCAGTTTATAGCTAGCCCTCTAATACATTAGCCTGGGTGGAAGTACTTCAAATGTTTGGTAAAAGTGAATTTGGTAGTATGTAGCTGGAGAACCAACCACAGTATCTTGGACTACAGAGTCAGTGGTCAATCAGCTCTTCTACTCCACACAGGGACTCTCCAGACTGATGGCCTGCTGCTCCCCCCTAGGTATTATCTGACTTTTCCTGGAACAGGGAGAACAGGAAGAGGGCCTCTCAGCAGCTAATATAAAAGTCTCCTGTGCAATGGTGTCTACATTTTACCCATCTAAGAGAGCCTCTTAGGACCTAACTCGGAGATTATTAACTCTTAGTCACAAACAGTTTTATCAAATCATGCTAGTTAATGTTGTTTCCAACCCACTGCAGACTAGAAGGGAGTAAGAACACTGGGGAGAAGGCCTTAGAATCAAGCAGATTAATTACAATCAAGGCCAGGAGGGAAAAGAACAGCACAATGAAAAGCTGAAACAGGGATTCACAGAGCACAACACCTCAAAAGCCCCTAAGGGCATCACTGAATTGACACATAGGACATTAACTGCTGGATACAATGATGAACCTGAGGAAAAGTGATATAGGGCCCAAGAAAGTAGGAGAATGTAATTCATTTCACAAAGGCAACATATAAGCTGTTTAACAAACATTTAATGAGCATGAATACACAGTGGTAACTTTTGGAAAACAAAAACCAAACCAAACTCACTGCCGTTGAGTTGGACCCGACTCATAGCGACCCCTCCTTGGGTTTCTGAGGCAGTATCACTATGGAAGTAGATTGCCCAACCTTCTTCAGAGGAGTGGCTGATGGGTTTGAACTGCCAGCCTTCTGGTTAGCAGTCAAGTGCCTTAGGCACTATGCTGCAGGTGCATAACAAATAAGACATTGTTCTCAACTTTAAGAAATTAACAGTCTAATACAAGAATCAAGATTACAGAAAAGACAATATAGTTTCACAAGTATAATGACAGAGATACAAAAGGTGTTTACCATAAGAAGATGAACAAGGTAGGCTGGGGCTATATAGTTCAGGGGCAAACATCAGTGGAGTGCCAGCATTACAGCCATAGCCACTGAAGAATGTCTATGAGGAGGGCCTCCACTCACCTCTGAAGTCTCGTATCTCACCATCCTCTTTCTTGCCTCTGAATTTTTGCAAACACCACTCCACTGCCTGGTAGATTTTCCCCTCTCTCACACCCAGTTTGCTAACCCAATTCATTGTCACGCCCCTGATGAGAAGTCACTTCCTCTAGCAATTCTGCCCAAGTGTGAGGCAGTTATTGCTCATAAAACTCCTCTAGCACCTTAGGTATCCTCCAGTTACAGTATTTATTCCATTTTATTGCAAGCACCCATTTACTTGACTATGTGCCCCCTAGTCCAAAAGCTAAGTGAGGACAGAAGTCTGACTCTTCTCCATGGTTGTATCTCCAGTGCTCAGCACAGTATCTGACCATAAGTACGTGGTGGACAAATAATTGTTGAATTAACAAATACATACTCACATAAGTAAGGCCCTAATATTATTTTAGTTTTTGTAATAATAACAACAGTAATAATAACAATAATAATACCACCATGCAACATGTATTTAGTGGAGACAATAGAGTGTGTCTGTTGAATTAAGTGAGTGCTGGAGCCAGATCGCACGTGTTTGAATCCCACAGCTGAATATATTTACTGTGTAATCTTGGGTAAATTACCTAATCTCTCTTTGTCAAGTTTCCTTATCTATAAATGGAGATACCAACAGTCCCCCTTCACTGGATTAAATGAGACACTGTGTGCAAAGGGGCTTGGAAGTGCCTGCCATATACCACCTTCTATATATGTCAGCTATTATTACTACTAAGGAGCTCTGGTAGCACAGTGCCTAAGGTATCTGACTAGTCACTCCACGGAAGCAAGACTGGGCAATCTACTTCCATACAGATTTACTGTCTCAGAAACCCAACGGGGGTTGCTATGAGTCGGAATCGACCTGACGGCAGTGAGTTTGGCTTTTTTTTGTTTTTTGTTTTATTATTACTACTGTCTAGGTCTTATGCTTCCCAGAATATTTTCTATGAAAAAATAAGTTGGGGGAATGGAGCAGATACTTCAG